GGGGGGGGGGGGGGGGGGGGGGGGGGGGGGGGGGAGTCGGTCGACTAACGAGTCAGGTCAAAATGAGCAAGCATATAGAATAACATAACTATGGAAGGAGAGAAGAGCAGGACCAACGCGAACGACACCATACCTCCAAAGAAGGGAAACATTGGCACGAGCGATGCGGTCGGTACACCTCAAGACTCGCCCTAGTCCTCCCCCCTCTTGTCAATTTAAAAAATGCTGTGCACATGCTCCTCTTTCGTCTGAATGTTCGGCCACGCGCTCCTACACGTGCATCTTTCCTCGCCTCCTTCAGCCACTACCACCACCCCTTTCACCACTCACCATCTCCGGATCGGCTGGCTTAGGGGCCGGTCGTCTGGTCTCGAGGCCTTTCAACGGGGCGCGCCACCACGCCTCGCGACTCTTAGCCGGCTCGGCCTTGAGGAGGGTGATGGTCACCTCTTTCGGCTGTCCCGGTCCCGGATCGTCTGAAAAAAAAAAAACGTGTAAGGAAAAATCAACACAGCAGTCAGTCACATTGTGCCACATATTGAGGCCGTAAACTTTAACGACATTGAGGAGGTGAGCCTGATCGTTGTGGCATATCACACCGCAAGCGGCGAGCTATGGTAGCGGCAGCGGTGCCCTGCTGTCCTGTCACAGTCCTGTAGCCCGCCTGCTGTAGAATACCATTCCTCCGTGGCGAGAACTACCGGGAGCAGAAGGGAAGGGATAGACTGGCACCAACCAGAAAGTCAAGTCTACACGAATCGGCGAAGTATCCTCTCCTGCTGGTGCTGGTGCTGCTGTTCAGGGCCGATATCAAGCTGACATGTCTTACATGTTTCATGTGCTCGCTGCTCCACCTGTACATCAAGGTGCTTCAACATTTTCGTGCACACTCGGATGGGTCGCATCACAGCCACCACCACAATACCACACAGCGTGGCAGGAACACCACACCAAGGGGCAAACACCCCGCGAGCGCTTCAAGTGCGACTCGACTTCCACGACCATAATACAGCGGTAGAGCAGTGATACTGTAGACGTACCGATCTGCCAAGTGCAGCCCTCCGGGTCAACCGGCTTGAACAAGTTGCCCTGCGGAGAGGGAGGTAGGTGATGGGGGTGGGGGGGCGTCCACGAAGCAAGGGACGGGTTGGGGCAATCACATCAATACCTTAGCGCAGGTAAGAGAGGCGAAACGACAAATAGATACAGTAACGCAAAATAATAATCTTGGAACAACAGAGGATTCTCTGGGGTGCCGCCAAACCCAAGCATCATCGACAGAGCTCCAGTTTGTGAGCTCCGCGATTCAGCCGCCAAAGTTGCTTCCCGTTCACTACAGTAAGGAGGGGGCCGGGTGTGTGTGTGTGGTTGGTGGTCGGAACCCAGGCAAGGCGGGACAGGGGGGATACTCCCTGCTTGGTATCGTGCACGGCAGCGGTGTATGGTCCACAAACGGGTTCAACAGGTGCCAAGTCAGGCACTAGGCTAGTCCAAGGGCCATGACCCGGGGCTCCGTGAGGGGGATCCGCGGGGGAGGGGAATTAGGCTATGTTTCGGATTTGAATACTCATGTGTACGTGTGTGCATGTTTGCAGTTCGTAAGCATCGCCGTTGTGTGCAAATAGGAAAAGTAGACCTGGTCCAGAAGAGAGGGGCGGCGGCGAGGCAAGTGTGCATATCTCCTTTATGTCCTCACCGCTATCACTGGCTGGTTGCGAAGGCTGAGCTTGAGCATGGTACCCGTAACCTCCACCTTGACGTCCGATCGTGCCACCTCTGCAAGAGGCAGAGCAGAAGATGTGTGTGTAGAGATATGAGAGCGAGAGAGGAGAGAGAGAGAGAGAGATGGGGGGGGAAGAGAGAGGAGGGAGAGAGGGGTGGTCACGAGGGGACACTAAAAACAAACCAACTAGTGGTGTAGACACATTACCAGGAAGAAACACATTTAACCTCATGAGCGAGGGAAATGATTCTACACTCACTACACAGCGAGTTTGCTTCCAAATTTTCCAAGTGTCCAAATCTGCAGATCGTTGAACCTAGATTTGCGGCCGAAGAAATTTGGAAAATTTGGAAACTAGTTCAAAAAATTGGAAATCTGTCGAGTCGGAATTTGGACATTTCGAAGCAAAATCGCTGTGTACATAAACGGCCTTTAGAGGCAGAGGCAAAGTCATACCAGGACGTCGGGGCTGGGCTCGCCAACAGGGCCGTGTTGGTAACCATTAACCTTTTTCAGTCCCTACCACACCGCCCCTGTCTACAAGACACCTCAAAAACCAAAAACACACCCAAAAGGACACCCACAGGACTCACTCGGGGAATAAAGTGCTGCACTCTCCTCCCGGTGCAAATCTAAGGCAAGCATTCCGCAGAAGGGGTGGGTAGGGGACATCAGGGGAAGGAGGAAGGAGCCCTTCTGCGTGACCACGGATTGCAAAACCTCCTACACCCGACAGAAACCCTATATGTGAACCCTGATTCCAAGTGACGAGATACAAGAAAAAAGGAGTGATTACTCACTCGGATCGACGCGGATGATGATCTCCACCTCCTCGTTGCTCTGATCCCACCGCAGCTTCGGCCTGTTGTCGACCGCCCCGGGCGGCGGTGCCCCTCTCCGCCCCCCTACCGCCGGACCCGCTCCGTTCCCCCGCCCGCCATCGGCCGTTCTCGGCGCCGCCGGGCTAGCGGGCCCGGCCCCTCGCCCCGCGCCACCGTCCGGCACACTCCTGGCGGCGACGTGGGCGGAGATGGGGACGGCGCCCGGAGGGGGGTCTTGCCCGGGCTGCCGGCGTACAATGCTGCTCAGCAGTCGATCGATCTCCTGTTGATAGAAATCGTTGTGGGGGGGGGG